AGCGCACCTTTCGGTGCCTACCGAGAGCCACGTAGCGAGCCAGGAGGCTGAGAGGGTACGCGAGGTCAGGTCTTGAGCACGTCATCAAGTACATGAGGCAACCCATAAGCTCTGGGTACGGACCAGTCGGCTCTACGGACTCGTTCGAAGGTGGAGCTGAGAGCGAGTGACCGGTAGACAGAGGAGTGGGCTGTGGCGAGGAGAACTGGAAGCCGAAGCGCTGAAGGACCTGATGCACCATGTGCGACTGAGTCAGTGTGATGGTGCGCCGCGCTCTGTCCCGGGTGATCTGCAAGCCATGATAGCTGCGCAGTTCACCTAGGTCAGTGCAGGTGTGTCTCTTCTACAGCTCCAACTTCACAAGGGTCAGTGCCTCAGTGTCAGCAGTGGCAAAGACGAGGTCGTCGACGTACACGAGGACGTAGAACGGCGGCAGTGACGTGTCGATGCGTAGAAAAAACGACGGGTCAGAAGTCGAAGGAGAAAACCCAAGAGCCGCAAGTGCAGTCCTCAGTGTGTCATGTCACTCGCGAGGCGCCTGGCGGAGACCGTAGACTGGCCGGCGGAGGCTCCACTGGGTACCTGCAGGAACGACCCAGTGAAGCCAGGTGGGCGGCGCAGCCAGATCTCCTCGTGCAGGCTGCCCTGCAAGAAAGCTGTGCTGAAGTTCAGAGAGTGTAACTTGTAGTCACGCTCAGCAACGACGTACAGCAACACCCGAAGAGTAGTCATCTTCGGGGTGGGGGAGAAGGTATGGAAGTAGTCGACCCCCTGTCGCTGACTGAAGCCTCTAGCAACGTAACGCGCCTTGTAGGCAGGCGGAGAACTCGACGGCCGCTTCACCCTGAAAATCCACATGCCATCGACTATGTTCGCCCGAGACGGGGGAACTGCGTCAACGTAGGTGCCTGTGGACTTCCAGGATGCCATCTCGGCATCCATGGCTGCCTGCCACTGAGAGGAGTAGGGACCCGTAATCGCCTCTGCGTAAGAGCGCGGGGTCGGGATGTCTAGTGCATCCGGGTCTCCCTCAGGGGCAAGCAGCATGGAAGCGAAACGAGGTAAAGCTGCCGCAAGACACTCAAGGTCCTCTTGCCTATCCTCAAGGACGTCCGTGCGAGGAGCACACTCACCCCTGACGGACGGAGGACTGGCAAAATCAGACTCAGCAACAAGAGCAGTGGCGTAGTCTAGACGACAGGCAACAGCAAAGTCAACCAGCTCAGCAACGAGGGCAGACGCAGCAGTGGACTCAAAGGAAGGGCCAGTGACAACAGTGGCGAGGAGACGAGAGACAGTGGGACTGGCAGCACGAGCGCGGTCAGACTCAGGGTTAGGGACGGCAGGAAGAGAGGACTAAGGAGGAGGCTGCAGAGGAACACGCAGTGGAACAGAGGAAGGACGAAGTGCCATAGCGTGTGTGCCGGGGACAGGAGGGGGACGCGGATGAGGAACGCGACGACCAGAGCGAACAGGGGATGCATGACGAGACGCAAGCTCACGACGCTTTGTAAGACCGCCGGCCTGCTCAGTGTAAGGAGAAGGAGCAGGTAGTGGGGAGGCTGGCTGTAACGGGGGCTGCGACTGGTCAGTCGGTGGACACAATAAGGGAGGAGTAAGGCCAGTAGAAGACGGGACACCAAGAACCTGCTGAAGCAGGGGAACAAAGTACGGTTGCGGCCGCACATTGCCTCATGCACTACGAGCTCAAGGGTCAACAGCTCCAGCTCCTCTAGCTCCTGCGCCTCCCGCGCCAGTGGCTCCACCTCCAGCGCCAACTGCTCCAGCTTCTCCAGCCCCAGCAGCTCCAGGCTCCATAGGGTCTCTAGCTCCAGCTCCCCCAACACCACCAGTCCCAGCAGCTCCAGTACCCTTGGTACGAGCACCTCCAGGACCAGCGGCTGTAGCACCTCCGACACCACCAGCTCCAGCAGTAACTCCAGCACCTCCAGCTCCAGTGTCTCCAGCTGCAAAGTCTCTAGCTCCGGCAGCTCCACTCCGAAGGCGGGTGCGCTGAGCAAACCTCTCGCGCAGCTGCTGCGGGGAGAGGGGCTCCGGCCGGGGAGACAGTCGTGGCGATGCACCCGCGGGACCTCCAGAAGAAGCAGTACCCCACGGCTCAGCACCCCCAGACTCCGCACCCTCAGACTCAGCACCCCCAGGCTCCACACCCTCAAGCTCAGCACCCCCAGGCTCCACATCCGCAGGCTCAGCACCCCCAGGCTCCGCACCCCCAGGCTCAGCACCCCCAGACCCGGCACCCTCAGACTCAGCACCCCCAGGCTCCGCACCCCCAGACGCAGCACCCCCAAACGCAACACCTCGAGCAGCACCAGAGCCGACAGCTACTTCAACAAGCGCAGTCTCAGGGAGAGGGTCTACCTAAGACACACCTGAGGGAGCAGGACCCTGGGGGGGGAGGGGGTCTACCGGAGGGGGACCTGGAGCAGGGAAGAGCAGCGGGGGTGGGGGAGGGGCAGTGCGGTAGGGGAAGAGACGGTAAAAGGGAACCGACTCGTCAAACGTGACGTCCTGTGGTAAAACTGCCAGCCAGGCGCGTAAGGGGAAAAGCCAAGGAAGACGCAGGGAATAGCGCGGGCGGAGAGCTTGTCCACGGATGATCGCGAACAAAGACACGAGAACCCCAGACCCGGAATTCCGACACATCGTCAACCTTCCCCGTTCAACGCAATGTAGGCGAGGTGTCCGGCAAGGAGACACAGGGCCAGAGGTTGAGCTGATGCGCAGCATACCAGACCGCAAACGGCCACAGAAAATGGGGAGCAGCCGCATGGATCATGGAGGTACGAGCGACCTCCATGACTAAGCCAATGCGGCACTTAGCAATCCCATTATGTTGAGGGGAGTCCGGAAGCGTGAACGACTGGAGAATGCCCTCCCCACGACAAAAGTCCCGCAAGAGGTCGGAGGAGAACTCACCACCTCTGTCAAAGTGCAGACGTAGGACAGGAAGGTCCTGGCGGAACGGTTCGCGGAGCTGGAGACGGACTGCGCGGATCCAAGGGATCAAGACATCAACGACCTGACCCTTGCTGCGCAAGGGGAAGACCGTGGTGTGGCATGTGTAGTCGTCAACAACCAGCAAAAAGTAGCGCTCGCGGCCCTGTCCACTGACGCGGGCTGGGCCCCACACGTCCATGTGGAGAGTCTGTAGGGGAGCAGTCGTCGGGGGAAATGAGGAGGAGTAAGGAGCGGCGCGCTGCCACCCCTCGACGCAAGGAAGGCAGGGCGGGGCAGGCGAGGGCGGGAGGGGAGGCAGAGACCTGGGAAGACCAGAGGCAAGGAGGCGGGATTGCATGCCACGAAGGCGTGGCAGGGAGGGGTGACCCAGGCGGTGGTGCCAAAGAAGAGTTTGGTTTGACAGGAGGCGACACGAGCAAGGGGGTGCTACCTGACGTGACGCAGACACCTGGGCAGACGCAGCTACATAAGGAGGCTCGGTAGCCAGTGTGTACAGACTCGACCCTGGCCGACGAGCGAACGTGGCCAGGTGACGGCCCGTCCATGTATACGTGCAGATCGACACACGTTGACCCCTTGGAGTGGTGGTAGTGACCATCGCGTCCTGGAGGGCAGTGGTACTCACCAAGTTCGTGGAGAACGAGGGGAGGTGAAGGCCTGACAGTGAGCCAGACGGAACCGCCGGACACGGGAGGACAGTGGAGGAACGGGCGAGGACTGGGCCCCCGGTACAGGTGCAGAGAGAGGAGTGAGGGTGGTGCTGTCGCGAAAGAAACAGCGTGAGGCACCTGAGTCAAGTGTGAGTGTGCAAGGCCTCAGCAGGCGCAGTTGCAGGGAGAACAGACTCACTAGCACCTAGAGCAGCAGCCTCTATACCTGGGTCACGCGGCACACATAGGTAATAGTCACCCTCAGCACTAACAGACAAAGCATACATAGCAACAAGGATAACATCATAGTCTAGGTCAAAGATAGCAACTCCAGACCTAAGCAGCTCTGCCGAGGGGGGCACTTGGCCTCATCACCAAACTCTGCGCGCCAAGCATCGTCGAGGCGGGAGAAGCAGCGGTGCTGAATGTGAGGCTTCCCGCATGTCTGACCAGCACGGTCACCTGTGCGAATGACATGCGGGCAGCTACCACTACCCCTAGATGCCCCACTGTGAGAAAACCACTCACGAAGCTGCTGAGGCGACGGGGTCTCGCTCCGACGCTGGGGCTGCTGCCGCTGGCCACCTCCCGAACCTCCACGCTGAGTAGCTGCAGCCCTACTGCCACCACTCCCACTGCCGCCACTACCGCCACCCCCACCGCTGCCACCGCCGACTCCACCAAAGCCCCCACTCCCGCCACCACTCCTACTACTGCCACCACCTCCACTGCCTCCACCACATCCACTGCTGCCCCCACCACCACCCCTGTTGCCACCACCACCACCCCTGCCACCCTTGCCCTTGCTGCTGCGGCGCCTCGCACTAGCAGAAGCAGCCCCGACGTCCTCAGCACCAGGGACGTCAACACCAGCAGCAGAGGCGTAGGAGGGGGCAAGGGGGGAGGGGGAGCACCCCTCAAAGAAAAGCGTGCGCGGCGTGCCACGAGCAGCACCTACAGCGACTACACTAGTCTCAGCTGCAAGGAGGTGCTGCTCGAGGAGGTCAACCGAACGCTTCTGCCCCCTGCCTGCCTGCGCAGGCCTCTGCTTCGTCACCAAAGGCGGCGTCCGCCACCACTGGCGAACCGGCTCCGTCGGTTGCGCTTGCGGCGGCGGGTCAGTCCGCACCCGCTGTGACGGCGGTGGTTCCTGCAGGCCAACCTTCACGCCCTCCGTAGCCTGACCGTCGCTCGTCGCGGCCCCATTCCCCCGCTCCCCACCAGGAACGCAAATCATCTCGTCGCCGGCGTGAGTCTCCACGGCGGTACCAGCAACAGTCGCGCTGGCCTGCTCACCCCGGGGGTCAAGGGGATTGGAGGGGTTCCCGTGCTCGTGGCGGGGGTGGGGGGTATCGCCCGCCTGTGACGATGGCGGATCTTCAGCGGGAAGTGTCGAGGGCGGTTCGGGAGGAGAGGGCGGCGCAGAGCCAGAGCAGTTCGCTGCGCGCCTTGCCAGCCCGCGAGGCTCCCCGTCCGGCTGCGCTCCCCCCAAACCCGCAGCCTGTTGCTGCGCCTCCCCCCCAGATCCAGGCGCTGCCAGCTCCTTCTCCCGCTGTATCGGCGCCTGCTCCCGGCTCTCGTCTCCATCTGCCACCGGTTCCGCCTGTTGCGGGAGTGGAATTTGTGGCCGCAGGTGGCGGCTCGTTGGCGGCTCCGTTCGCTCTCCCTGCTGATGCTGATGAGCCGCTCCAGTTCCTGGCGGAGGCACTCCAGCCTCCGCAGACCCGTGTTCCCGAGGCGACTCTCGGACAGCTACACCGCCTCGCTGACAGTCTCCACGCTCTGCTGCTGATTCAGGTGCTGGCCCACTCGTCTCTCCCTATGATCCCTCCTGAGACCTTCCGTGGCCGCCAGCGTGACTCGTGCCTAGACGCGGCGGACCAGCTCGCGGTGCTGCTGGCGCCCGTGCTGGCTGCGCCCGTGGAGGGTGGCGCTGCTGCTGCGGGACAGCTTGACGAAGCCGTCCGGGGCTTGAGGCGGCACTTGCGTGCAGGATCTGGAGCCGCGGCGATCGGCGCAAGCACGCTTGTGGTCCGGGAGCTGTGGCGCTCCCTGACGGGCGTTCTTCACGCCCTTGGAGCACACCGCATGTAGACGCGGGCTCCGGTTGCCCCATTGATGCCTTGCCTGTCTAGTTGCTTATCGAAACTGCCGTTGCGTGTATGTCCTTGCTTAGTATCTGTTGCTTAGTATATCTCTCTCTCTCTCTCTCTCTCTCTCTCTCTCTCTCTCTCTCTCTCTCTCTCTCTCTCTCTCTCTCTCTCTCTCTCAAACGGTCCTTTGTATTGATAACAAGTTCTAGGGAAGCATTGAACAAGCACGAAGACAAGCAAACAAACCTAGTCACTAAGGGTGGGCTGTGTTGTGCCTCTAATCAAGCAAACAAATCCTGCATCTTGCCTCTAGGACAAGGTCCTAGGGCCTTTATACTAGGCTGGAGAGGGCTGGAGAGGCTAAAGACTAGGCCTATCTCTCTCTCTCTCTCTCTCTCTCTCTCTCTCTCTCTCTCTCTCTCTCTCTCTCTCTCTCTCTCTCTCTCTCGCTCTCTCGAGTGCCGAAATTGTCAAGCACAAAATGAACTAATGAAGAAAGGGGAGCCCCGTGGGGCCCTTATATAGCTATGGAACTAGGGGAAGAGGGCAGATGGCGTGGATTTCTTCTCTCTCTCTCTCTCTCTCTCTCTCTCTCTCTCTCTCTCTCTCTCTCTCTCTCTCTCTCTCTCTCTCTCTCTCTCTCACTCAAACGGTCCTTTGTATTGATAACAAGTTCTAGGGAAGCATTAAACAAGCACGAAGACAAGCAAACAAACCTAGTCACTAAGGGTGGGCTGTGTTGTGCCTCTAATCAAGCAAACAAATCCTGCATCTTGCCTCTAGGACAAGGTCCTAGGGCCTTTATCCGCATGGCGCAAGATGCAGGCCCCCCCAGCAAGCAAACATCCCCCCCCAGTCACCGGGGTTCAGCACCCCCTCTGGTCCCCCCACTGGGGGATTCTATGCGTGTGCGGCCAGGTTTAGCTTTATGAGAAAGCTCACTGCCTGAGCTCTTTGGAGGGCAATAGACCACCGCTGGCGGAACTGGCGGAGCATCTTCGCAGCCTGATAGGTAGAGGGGTCCGCGTTGAAGATTTTCCGTTCAGCTTTATCCGCCAGTAGCTTCAGGAAGGTGGGCACTTCCTCGCAGGGGCAGCCGTAGGTCTCTACTGCCAATGGGACGAACCCAGCAAACTCTGCCCTGCCGTGGTAGAGGCCTATTTTCTTATCTGCTGCCTCCTGTGCTGCCCAGCCCCTCCCCTTCCTTGCTCTCTCGTCCCGTTTGCTGACAGGGTCCGTAATTGTGATATCTGCCAGCCACACCGCGCCCGAGCTCCCATCCCGAAAGGCCAGGTCGGCCTTCTTGTTGTCTACCGGGCTGAAGGCGGTGCACTCTTTGTGCACAGCAAATCCTGCATCTTGCGCCATGCGGATGCACTTGTCGCATAGCTCGTTGTGAGTGTTGGTCCGACCGTGCCCTGTACCGCATCGGAGCAAGTGATTCGGCAGCCTCTTGTCAAGAATGGCAACTCTATTGCTGCAGTCACAGCAGTTGGGCACGGAGAGTGGTTGGCCAAGCCAAAACTGGAGGGCAAACGTGAAGTGGCAGGGGTATGACCGCAGGTCTGGCATGTAGGGGATTGCCAGAAGCCAATCTCCCGCCCCATAGCCCGTGAGAGACATGAGCCGCTGAGTATGGCCTGATAGTGGGTTTAGATCCATCTTCCTGGATGCTGTTATCTGGGCGACACTCCGGCCCCCTTGGACTAGGAGAGCAAGGCGGTGCTGCAGCTGGCCCTTGGGTTTTATTCACTCCGCCGAGATTAGGTCCCTCCCCTCATGTGTAAGGCTGTCCCTGCAGTCCTGGATCCACCTCTGTAGTTCATTGGGGCTGTGGTCGGCTGCTTCCATGCTGTCCAGTGTTGCTATCAGAATGGACCCTGCTTGGCCCTCTAGCGGGCCGAGAAGTGTGTTAGCCTGTACGAAGCTCGCCAAGAAACTGTATCGCCCCTCTACTTATGGGTCGGCGAGGCCTAGGCCACCTAGGCTCGGTGGGAGTGAGGCTTGGTCCCAGATCCGCCTGTCCTCTATCTCGCCCCTCGGGTGACGTACCCCGCAAGCATCTAGAAGAGTGTACAGCAGAGCCCGGCCCCACCTTGACTACTCTGCTTCGGGTAACAGGTACAGAGGCGTGATACGTGCTAGGTAAGATATGCGTCTAGAGATGCACCGTGTTAGTAGCAACGACGTTACTTGGGGGTCCATGGTTGCGAGGTGGGGCAGCGGAGATGACATAGATTCCAGCTGTGAGCGTAGAAAGGCCGCTGCACCTTCTGCCGAGCCGATGAAGCTACCCAATACTCGCAGCCCATCCGTGCTCAGCAATACACCCTCGGGCAGCAGCTGGGGGTCTGTGGCTGCTGCGCTCCATGCGACGCACTTCCATGGGTTGTGGGTTAGCCCCACATCGCGTAGTCCCGCCGTGAAGTGGCGGAAAGCTTCTGAACCCTCGAAGGCAGCGCCCAATAATGTGACGTCGTCAGCAAATGCTAGGCACAGTACGGATGGGTAAGTTGCTGCCGTCTTGCTGATGGTGGGGTGGATCCCGGCAGCGAAGAGCAGCGGGCCGAGCGGGTCTCCTTGTTGCACGCCTGTCTTGCTGGTCAGAGCCTCGCATCCGAACCCCGCATCCAAGAACAACTGGGCTGGCCTGCCGTACGATATTTTGGCAAGAGGAAGGATACTCTGGAGTGTGGAGTCGCGAAGTGCACTGACTACTGCTGCGCGGCTAATGGAGTTAAAGGCGTTTTCTAGGTCTGTCTGCAGTATCAGCGCATTGGGATTTGCACAGGTGAAGGCCCTCGTGGCGTGAATAATCGCCTCGCTGCCGCCCTGAAGTGACACGCAGTATTGTAGCAGGAGAAAATGTGCTCGGCATTCTTAGGAGAGGGCTGAGAGTGCAGCCTTAGCGGCGAGCCGTAGGATGCATTCGCCTACGGCTATCGATCGAGTACCTCCGTCAGGTTTTGCTAAGGCTATGAGGCGGCTAGCGGTCAGTAGTGAGCAGATCTCGTCAGGCAGTTTGCCTCGCAAGATGGTATTGACGAGGGCGTGTAGGTGTGTGGTAACCCTTGCGTTGGTGAGCGACGCATCCCTGAGGTGCTCAAATGTCATACCAGATGGCCCCCCTCCCACTCCGTTCTCAGAGCGGCACAACATCTTTATGAAGTCCTCTCTGTCTATCGAGGCTGTTGGTATAGTATCGGGGATGTTCCAATCGATGATGCCTGGTGGTGCTGGGGGGTGTTTTGCTTTGAGGGCGGTGAGTGTGGCTGCAGAAGGGTCAGCGATTGGCGTTGACTCAAGGGCGAGGATCGCCCTGCGGAGACTTCCTTTGCGTGCGAGGCCCTCGGCTCTGGAGCGCTTGCCCAAAGCGTCAAGGGTGTGACATGGCGGGTGTGGTCCAGTGATTGCGGCTACTGCGGAGTCATATAGCTGCTGCCATTCGCCCTTTAGAAATTGGCAGAGTCGTGATTTGACAGCCGGCCAATCAGGTTTCTCCGTTGATGGCAGGTGAAGGGTGAGTCGTGGGACGAAGAGTAACAGGCGCCAGCCCGCGACTGACCCAGGGTTTCGCGCGAGGTGAAGTAGTGGTGTCAGGAGGACCAAGGCGAAAACCGGGCGAAGGTCAGCAGGGAGTTTACGCAAAAGTGGGGGCTGACGACTGTTGCATAGGGGGGACAGGTCCCACTTCTCCACTTCGCCGAACCGCACATTGTCCTCGGCGAGTTGTTCTGGCAAAAATTGGCGGGGCTGTGGTGTTTGTGTGGAGGTGTCAGGTGCCAGGCCAATTTGCACCCCACCAATTGCAGTTAGGATTGGAGCTGCCTGGCGTGGTGTTCGATTCTCACGGCGTCTCCCTTCCAATGCTTCTTCCTCCAACTCCCCCGATTCCCCCGTTGTAGATTCCTCCTCCTCCCTATTTGCTATAAACGTAGGGTCTCTTGCTTCGTCTTCATTGTGTTCTGCGTTTCGTGTTAAAGCACGCCTTGCCTCCCTCTGGAAGCCATTCTCAGTTCCTCCTCCCCTTCCTGACGGACCTCCGCGCCCGCCGCCTTGTCTTCCCCGTGATGCCTGTGGCGTTAGGCGACGAGCTTCACTACTCGCCACGTCCCTTTGTCGCGGTGTCTGCTGTGGTTGCCCCAAAAGCGGTCCCGGGCTGGTTGTTGAGGAGATGTCGACACTTCTTGCTCCTGGCTCTGCGGCGTTGCCAGCGATTCCTGCTGCATTTGCCCCTGCGCCTCTTGCGGCGCTAGGTTCTGTCGTGGAGTCGACGCCTGTGTTCGCCGCGACGTTCATTCCTCTGCACGCCATGGGGCCTGCTCGTGCGCCCGCTCCTGTGCTTGCTCGTGCGCTTGCCCCTGCGCCAGCTCCAGCGCCTGTTCCTGGGCCCGTTGTGGCGTCCGCTCCTGCGCCTGTTCCTGCGCCCGTTGTGGCGTCCGCTCCTGCGCCTGTTCTTGCCCCTGCGGTGGCGTCCGCTCATGCGCCTGCTCCTGCGTGTCCTCCTGCCCTTGCACTGTCACTTCCCCTAGCCCCCGGGGTGTCGCCAGTGCCTGCTGCTGTGGCCTCGTCTGCGCCTGCTGGCGCGTCCCCGTACTGCTGCAGGCTGTGCCCGACGGGGCGCTTTGTGCTGTTGCTGCTGACCCGTCTTACCAGCCGCCTCAAGCCACCAGCGCCGCCCTGGGACAAGCGGTGACTGTCGTTGCTCCGACTGCGCCTGCGTCGTATCCTGCTCATGGGCCAGGGCAGCGTCATCCGTCTCCTGGCCGCCGACACCATCAGCCCCACTCCCCTGGACCACGTGACGAGCGCGAGACGTCGAGGCGCCGTCACGATTCTCCCCGGCATCGCCAATCTCAGGCGGGATGGCCTGCTCACCGTGGTGGTCGCGGTGGCTGGAGGGGAGGTCGCGGTCGCGGCCACTGGGGGGAGTCGGATCCTTCTTTGATGCTAGCCGATATGCAGCGGGTGGTATTTGCTGCATTGCGCAAGGAGAGGGCCGGGGTGGCGAGCCAGAGTAGTTCACAACATGTTGGACCTGTGGCTCCTCCTCCCGCTGCACCCCCTGTTGTCGCGCCGCCGGCCGTTGCTCATCCTCCCGCTCCTGCTGTGTCATCCTCTGCAGCCGGGGCCCACCTACGACTGCCCTGGGTGCCTTCTGTGGCGGGCATGGAGTTCGTGTCTGCTGCTGGAGGGGTGGCGCCTGTTCATCCTCATTATGAATCTGCTCCCTCTGCCGTTGCTGCTCATTTTCCTGTCCTGGCAGAAGAGGTCCTCCCCCCGCAGGTGCGGGTCCCCAAGGTGACGCTCGGCCAGATGTGGCGGCTCTCTGAGAGCCTTCGTGCGCTCCTGCTGATCCAGGTTCAGGCGCATGCCTCGCTGTCCTGACCTCCCCGGGGAGTTCTCCTTGACGGGCAGCGGGCTGATTGTCTTGAGGCGACCGACCAGCTTGGCCTGCTCCTGGCGCCCGTGTTGGCAGCGCCCGTGCTGGGAGGCTTCGCGGCTGTGGGGCCGCTTGAGGTTGCGGTTCGTAGCCTGCGCCGTTATTTGCGCGCAGGATCTGTAGCCGATGCGATTGGCGCAAGCTCGTTGGTGGTACGGGAGCTGTGGCAGTCCCTGACTGGGATTCTTGCCGCTCCGGAAGCAGACCGCATGTAGTTGCCGTTTCCTCATGATCCATGGCTTCTTATCTAGACGTTTGTTGCAGCAGCCATGCTTGTTTGCCGTTTGTGAGAGTGTACCTGCTGTTGTTGCCTTGCCACCCCTCACGCGCGGCCGAAGGCCGCGCTGTCAAGCGTCGGCCGCCGAAGGCGGCCGGCGCGAGCCGCTCAGTTAGGAGGGGATGAACACCCAAAATGAATAATGAGATCAGGAACCAAGAGCTAGAGGCTTTATACCAGGGGACTAGGGCTGAGAGGCTAAGGGAAGAGGCCTAGGTGCCTCTCTCTCTCTCTCTAATGGTCCTTGTATTGATATAGCAGCAGAGTACAAGCATGCAAGTCGTAGGTAACAGCTTAGCAAGGCACAAGGAGTCACAAAAACCTCCCTACAATTCCACAAAGGGCTCAATGACTGCAAAGCAGTCCCCTAGGTGTAACTCATCCCCGATCCCCCCCACAGGCGGGTTCTCCACTGCCGCTGCCTCCCCTAATTTGAGCAGGAGACCCATGGACTGGGCCCTTTGTAGGGCCACAGACCAGCGTTGCGTGAACTGATGCAGGAACTTGGCAGCGTAGAATGACTTGGAGTCGGCGTTGAAGTGGCGCCGAGCTGCAGTGTCCGCCAATAGCTTCAGGAAGACTGGCACCTCAGCACAGGGGCAGCCGTAGGTACCCACCGCTAGAGGAAAGAAATTCACCGTCTCTGGCCGGGCAGCATAGTGCTTGACCTTCTTGTCAGCCTGCTCCCGCGCCGCCCAGCCCCTGCCCTTCTGTGCATCCGGGTCCCTAGTGCTAATGGGATCTGTGATGGTGACGTTGCACACGTAGACAGCGTCGCTGCTTCTGTCTGTCATCGTAAAGTCCGCGGTCTGTTCCTCAATGGGGCAGTAGGCCGAGGTCTCGCTATGGACGATGAACCCTGCGTCTTGGGCCATGCTAATGCAAGCATCCCGCAGCTCGTTGTGGGTGTTGATACGGTGCTTGCCCGTGCCGCAACGGAGAAGGTGGTTAGGGAGGCGGGGGTCTGGGATAGCGGTACGGTCAGAGCAGTCGCAGTTTTTAGGCGTGGAGAAAGGAAGGGCCAGCCGGAAGCGCACGGCATTGGAGAAGTGAACGGGCCCTATCCTCCTGTTTCCCGCAATGGGGATGGCTGTCAACCAGTCCCCGGTCCCGTAACCGGTCAGCGAAAACATCCGCTGCGTGTGTCCGCTCAGGGGGTTCAGCTCCATATGCCGTGTCTCCTGAACCTGCACGGCGTATCTGCTCCCGTGCACCTGTAAAGCTAGTGCATGTTGTAGTCTCACATCCGACGGCTGCAGCCGCTCCTTCTCCAGGATTTCTCGTGCATCCCGGGGTAACGCGGCTTTGCACTCAGTGAGCCACTCGTGAAGGGGAGTGGTGACGTATGCAGGCAGCAGCATGTGATCCCGCGCCGCGAGGGGCACACTCCAGTGATGCCAGGAAAATGAGCACAGAACTGAATATTGAGGCTCTAGGACAAGATCCTAGGCCTTTTATACTAGGCTGGAGAGGGCTGGAGAGGCTAAAGACTAGGCCTCTCTCTCTCTCTCTCTCTCTCTCTCTCTCTCTCTCTCTCTCTCTGTCACTCTCTCTCTCTCTCTCTCTCTCTCTCTCTCTCTCTCTCGCTCTCTCGAGTGCCGAAATTGTCAAGCACAAAATGAACTAATGAAGAAAGGGGAGCCCCGTGGGGCCCTTATATAGCTATGGAACTAGGGGAAGAGGGCAGATGGCGTGGATTTCTTCTCTCTCTCTCTCTCTCTCTCTCTCTCTCTCTCTCTCTCTCTCTCTCTCTCTCTCTCTCTCTCTCTCTCTCTAATGGTCCTTGTATTGATAGAGGAGCAAATTTCAAGCATGCAGGTTTTTGAAATACTAGAACAAAGCCGCAGCACCACCCTACCTACCCACTTCTCCCTCTAGAGCTCTAGGTAGGGCTCAACCACTGCAAAACAGTCCCCTGGGTGAAGTTCCTGACCGATACCTCCTACAGGCGGGTTCTCTGCTGCTGCCGCCTCGCCCAACTTGAGAAGGAGACCCACAGATTGGGCCCTCTGAAGGGCCACTGACCAGCGCTGCCGAAATAGGTGCAGAAACTTGGCGGCGTAGAAGGATTTAGAGTCGGTGTTGACTGCGTTCGCCGCGTCCTGATACAGCTGCTCCCATTCGCCACGTTGGAAGGCTCGGAGTCGGGTCTTGATTTCCGGCCAATTTGGTCGTCGTGGCGAGGTTTGGCGAAGTGTTAGGCGCGGGAGAAACAACAGCAGGCCCCAACCTGTCTCTGACTCGGGGTTTCGTGAGAGGTGCAGTAACGGCGTCAGTAACGCCAGCGAGAACAGCTGACACAAGTTTGGCGGTAAACGCCGCGACAGTGGAGGCTGACGACTGTCGCATAGGGCTGCAATATCCCAATTCGTAATGCCTGCGAACAGGTCTGTCCGCTTCGCGAGCTCGTCTGGTGAGAAGTAGCGGGGGAATGATGCCGATGGGCGTGCCGTGGTAGAGGCATTGGTGGTTCGATTTCTTCCGGCGCGGCTCGAACTCATTGGGGGGCTTGAGGTTGGGTTTGCGCCCGTCCGATCGACATCGGACGATGGTTGAGCCATCCGTGGCACTTGCAAGTCCGTCCGCTGCACTACCTCTTCCCTTCTCCTTGGTCCTTCTCTCGCCATGCCTTCCCCCTCCGTCTCCTCGTTCTCGCTCTCGGGAAGGGCTTCTTCCCCATAAGATGGGTCGCCCCGCTCGTTTCGTCATTAGTTTCCTCCACGGTGTTTAAAGCCCTTCTCGCCGCCATCTGATACCCATTCTCTGGTCCTCCGCCCGTTCCGCTTACGGTTTCTCTCCTCGCCCCACGGCTTCCCTGCTCTCAAGATGGTGATTGCCGGAGCACCCGAGCCGTCGCCAGGGCTCGCTGCCGCCTGGTCGGCTGTGGTCGCCAGGCCTCCGGCGGGGCCCGAAAGGGCGACCATGGCGACGGAGCCCCCTCTACCGCCGGCTCCGAAGCACGTGACAGCAGTCTCTGAAAAGACTCCTCCCCACGCACCCGCGGCTCCCCTTGCCGGGGCAGAGGCTGGCCCGACCGCTCCCGCTGCTATTCCGTCTGCTTCGCCTGCGTCACCAGGCTTCCTGGCTCCCCTTGTCGAGCCGTCGGCGTCTGCCCCTGCTGGGGGTGTTGCTGAACCCCCTGCACCTGTCCCTGGCGCCCGTGTTGCGCCGAACGCTTCTGCCCCCTGCCTGCCTGCGCAGGCCTCTGCTTCGTCACCAAAGGCGGCGTCCGCCACCACTGGCGAACCGGCTCCGTCGGTTGCGCCTGCAGCGGCGGGTCAGTCCGCTCCTGCTGTGACGGCGGTGGTTCCTACGGGCCAACCGTCACGCCCTCCATCGCCTGACCGTCGCTCGTCGCGGCCCCATTCCCCCGCTCCCCACCAGGACCGCAAATCATCTCGTCGCCGGCGTGAGTCTCCACGGCGGTACCAGCAATAGTCACGCTGGCCTGCTCACCCTGGGGGTCAAGAGGATTGGAGGGGTCCCCGTGCTCGTGGCGGGGGTGGGGGGTATCGCCCGCCTGTGACGATGGCGGATCTTCAGCGGGAAGTGTCGAGGGCGGTTCGGGAGGAGAGGGCGGCGCAGAGCCAGAGCAGTTCGCTGCGCGCCTTGCCAGCCCGCGAGGCTCCCCGTCCGGCTGCGCTCCCCCCGGACCCGCAGCCTGTTGCTGCGCCTCCCCCCCAGGTCCAAGCGCTGCCCGCTCCTTCTCCCGCTGTATCGGCGCCTGCTCCCGGCTCTCGTCTCCATCTGCCACCGGTTCCGCCTGTTGCGGGAGTGGAATTTGTGGCCACAGGTGGCGGCTCGTTGGCGGCTCCGTTCGCTCTCTTTGCTGATGCTGATGAGGCGCTCCAGTTCCTGGCGGAGGCACTCCAGCCTCCGCAGACCCGTGTTCCCGAGGCGACTCTCGGACAGCTACACCGCCTCGCTGACAGTCTCCACGCTCTGCTGCTGATTCAGGTGCTGGCCCACTCGTCTCTCCCTGTGATCCCTCCTGAGACCTTCCGTGGCCGCCAGCGTGACTCGTGCCTGGACGCGGCGGACCAGCTCGCGGTGCTGCTGGCGCCCGTGCTGGCTGCGCCCGTGGAGGGTGGCGCTGCTGCTGCGGGACAGCTTGACGAAGCCGTCCGGGGCTTGAGGCGGCACTTGCGCGCAGGATCAGGAGCCGCGGCAATCGGCGCAAGCACGCTTGTGGTCCGGGAGCTGTGGCGCTCCCTGACGGGCGTTCTTCACGCCCTTGGAGCTCACCGCATGTAGACGCGGGCTCCGTTTGCCCCATGCTTACTTTCCTTCAGCTAGAGTGCCGTAGGACATGCCATGCGTGTAATGCTTTCTAATATAAGCAACTGTGTGTCGTGTAACTAGCCGTCCCCTCACGCGCGGCTGAAGGCCGGTGGCCGATGCGAGCGGGAAATTTCAGCCGCCAACTGAGTAATGAGGAAAGGGAGGGTGAGACGGGCCCTTAAATATCTAGGCAACCGAGGGCAGAAGCTAAGGGCAGAGGGCAGAGGCTATTCCTCTCTCTCTCTCTCTCTCTCTCTCTCTCTCTCTCTCTCTCTCTCTCTCTCTCTCTCTCTCTCTCTCTCTCTCTCTCTCTCTCTCTCTCTCTCTCTCTCTCTCTCGCTCTCTCGAACAAACGAGGAAATTTTTTCTGCCGCCAACAAGCTAGAG